AAACGCAGTTTCTTGGAATGGATTCTGTTTGTCATATACACATTGTGGGGTTAAGGAAATTGGAAGGAAATGTTTGTATAGTGGCAGGAAATGTTAAAGTAGCATACAGACGCCTTTGTAATTTTCTGCAGATTTGGCAACTTGTTTCCACAGAACACACTGAAATTTAGATATAAACACAGCAGTTTACACTGAAGCAAAAAAAAAAAATAATCAAATTTATTAATAATCATGAAATTCCAGTTGTTGGGAGAAGCTGTGATAAGACACAGCACAACTGCCAGAATTTCTGAAGCAAGGGGATAAACATCTGTTACAAGACTAAGATCATTATCATAACTTACATAATACGGTGCTTGGTGTTTTAGATGTGCTACAGACAGATGCAGTTACGTACTTCATTCAGGCTGACTTTTCCAGAAAAGTCACTTATTTTCTCCTCTAGGATATCCTCTAGTAAACATTAATTAACATTTTAGGTCATCCATCATAGATGAATAAGGGGAGTCTTTCAGAAATAAAGATTTACAGTGTTATACCCTACTACTGTTGAGGTATTTCTCTGTTCATATAAATTAACTTGATTCATTGTAATTCAGACTGTTTTCTTAGGGATAATTGGCAACAAGAACTGCCTGATTTTATACAAAACATGAAGCTTATCCACAGAGTTTCTAATTATCCGGAGTATCTTTCTCATTGACAGAAGATGAAGCATTTCATCTGGTTGTTTGTAATGGACTATGAAGGCATATTGAATCAGAACAGAAGTATATTTAGTAACTAACATTTAAAATTAAAAGGGAAGAAATACAATGGAAATATGACTTAGAAAGAGAAACAAACATTACATTTAAAGCAGGTTTTAAAACTCAGTGGTGAGCAAAATTCTTATCATGCAAAAAACTATTTTTTGAACTAAGTAGGTGGTCACTGGGTGGTACAAAGGCTTTGTTGTAAAACTGGGCAAAGATGTAGATTTCCTTACATGACTGAAATTTGTGTGTTGTTTCACTAGTGTTTATGAACCTGGAATAAAATAGTTTTGGGTAGAAAATGCAGGAAGATTTCTCAGCCTGTAATTAAGGATCCCGATTGAGCTACGGTGTGGCTGGCTAACATGGTAGACTATGTGGAAAGGATTTTTCAGCCATGTCTAACTAATTTATTGAACTGAGATCCAGCAAGACAAAGCTGAAGGAATTAAGTGAAATAACAACAGTGTAAGCATATTCCCTGAAAAGAAGCTGGAGCTTCAGTCAGTGCTTGTCTCTTGGCAAAAGGAAAGTTTTTGTAGTAACACTTTCCATAGAAAATTTGATGCATTTTAATGATTAAGATATTTATCCTACTTTTATTGTGGCATAGAGCTTTGTCCGTAATGTTCACTTTATGAACTTCTGGCATCCATCTGTTATGGTTCCGGATCATAGCTCTTGTCAGATTGTTTGGATAAACTGTCAGGCATTTTCTAGTTAATGACATTTATCACTGTTTTTTCTGACAAATGAAGGTTTTTTGACCATGACTCTTTGTAACATTACAAAGGCAATTATTTTCAGCGGTATGATAGCTCTGTGATAAGAGGTCTTAGTCATCACAGGGCTAAAATTGCATTTTACCAGTATTCCTGTTGTAAATAATTGAAAGAAATGTTAGTAAGTGAATGAATGATTCCCTCAGAGAGGAAATTAAACAGAGGACTAATACTCTGGTTCTTGGAAAAACAGACAGGGTTATAGGTAAGCACTTCAAAGTAGTTTTCCTTTACTTTATGTAGGAACAATGCTCTAGCATGGAAAACAAATGGGGAATGCTGGCACAAATGGTAAGCATTGGACTCTGCAGTTAGTAAGCAGGTTGCCTGATGGCTGACCTGAAGCTCATTAGCCCTTGTGTAGGGAGGAAAAATAATAAAATATTCTGTACTTGAGATGAATAAAATTAATGAACTGGGTCCAATAGATTTGTAATATGGCTTAGTCATTCAGCACATAGGGAACTGGCATAGTGTCCGTCACAGTAATTTATATTTTTTTCCAATTTCCCAGAAACAATCTCCTTTTTATCTGACAGCTAATTTAGGACTACTAATAAGTTCTTCTTCTTGTTACCATTTCCCATCCATAGTGGAAGAGTAAGAAATTAAAGATTCTAAGAGGTAGAAGGTCTTTTCTGAAAATATCAGATTTTCTTTTATATGATTTTTTGTCTTGAATGCCTGTGCTGATGCTGCTCCTCAAAGGCATCACCAGAGTCCTTCCAGTTACAGGACTTTTACCTTGGTGTTTGGTGTGAATTCTGAATTTTTTGTCTATTTTTCATAAACTTCTGCCATTAGTAACATTCCTTCTTATCTTTAAACCTTCCTTTGATTACTGTCACTGTCTTATCTCCAGTCTAACTTGCAATGTTAAGTTCCACCAGTCCCTCCTAAAGCCATAAGCCACATTTGCAGTCTTCCTTTGAGGTCTCTCCCATAATATTGCTTTTCTGTACCTCTGAGACAAAATCAGACATAAGGGAGAAAAAGGACCAGAACAAACTTGACCTAATGTGAAAGACGAAAATTTATAGCTTGGGTAGAATCTTGTAGAAAACCTTGCCTCAGCAAGTCAATCAGGAGAGTAAAGACCCTTCATCTAGGTCTGTAATGCCTGCTCCTAAGTCACCACGAGATAGATGACTCCACTGGCCCAAGACTGCAGTAGTTTTGAGTCAGCAGTGCAGTCCTTTGCTGGTTGTTGTGAAAACTAGAGCTTCTCAGCCTCAAAGCTGAAGCAGTCTGTACCTCCTTCTGCACTGGGAATTTTCTATCACACTCTCTGTGCTGCTGCGTTTTGTCTCTCTGGATGACCTGACTATGTAGTCTCTATATGGCAATGCATTTTCTAAACAAACCTGGGAACATGAAAATGTATTGCTCCTCTGGGTTTGCAAGAGATAGTAGTACCTGCACATCTGCCAGATAGTGTTGCTAGTTACAAGGTTGTAAAATCACAGAAGGTCACAGTAGCTGATGGAATCGTCCCAAAGTTTATCATTATGAAAGAACCTCCCTCTCACTGCAGCTGCTTCACCCCATTTGATCCTTCTTGCCTGATTATTTATAAAATATAAAAAGTGAAAAAAACCTAAGTTAAGTGATATATTTTCCAGGGTTGTCATACCTTGTAACTTAATAATCATCATAATTCAAATTTACTGAGGGAAAGATTTAATCTGGCAATTCTAAGAGGATGTTGGTGACAGATTTTTAATTTGCAAAACCATTGCTATGTCTGTGAAGTTTTAACTTGCAAATAATTAGTATTTCCCTTTTTTAAAGCCTTTCTGTCCTTACTACACTGATTCTCTAAGTACAGTTTATTATCTAAACACTGATTCTTTGAGAGCTATTCAGTCTCTGATTATGTCAGTGGGTAGACCAAGACAAAAACATGCAAAATCAATTAGTTTATCTAGCTCATATACTGTATTAAATAAAAGAGACCAAAAGAAATAGCAACCAAAGAACTGGAAACACTCTCCATCTGTGCCATGTAATAAAGTTAGCAAGTGATATGCTTGGTTTTTAAACCTTTTACATGGATTGGAACAAAACACACTCGCTGTTTTGGAAACCAGGTCATTGTAGAGATAGAATTTTGTGTTGTTTAAAGTGTTTAACCTCCTGGCACCTTTGCTCCTGTAACAGAAGTCTTACTCGTTATGGTCATCTGCATTTGCAACAATCTGGCAAGGAGCAGTAGCATTCTGGACATAACTAGTGACTTTCTGTCAGATTTTGCCTACAATTTGCGAAGCATTTTCTGAACCCTGTGGATAAGAGTAAAAGAGATTAGACTGAAGCTGAAACCTGTTACAAATGCACTAGGAAATCCAGTCAGGATTCCGCTTGTTCTTCTGTGAGCTGAAGTGTGAAAAATCAAAAATAAATCCTGCTGGAGAGTCAGAGAACAAGTGTGTCACTAGTCTTTAACTGACTTGAAAGAAAAGTAAATACTACCCACAGATAATTTTTTAGTAAGAATGAAATGACTTTTTTTTGACTGGAGAGAATCTCTTATTGGTTGAAATTCTAGCAACTTTAAATTCTCCTGCCAGTAATTTGTATTTGTGGAGTGCTTAACATTCTTGTTATTCAAATGTTCAGTTTTTGTTCACCAGATTAGTTTGCAAATTATATAGAAGCTTTTTTATTAACCATCTAAATTTCACATGATGGGAGACTGACTTGAAAATTCCTGGAGAAATAATGGCTTGAGTAATAGAATCTCTCATTTATTATCTCTTCAATGCCACATACACCAATTCAGTAGTGATCAAAAGTCCTCAGCAGAGGTGATTTTTTTACTGATTGGTATGAACTGACTGGCATTCTTAGGCCCTGGAATTTATAGGTTCATAGTTTCACAAAAAGGACAGGAACTTGTAGACATGTAAGCTTTTTTCACATCCAGAAGAGACCTGGTTAATGCAAAGATAAGAGTGTATTGCTTTTTCTTGTGGGTCTTTCAACTGCAGAGCAAATGATACATCACCAGTACCAGAAAAGAGGGTGGGAGAATTTTTGCTATATTAAGAGGTTGTTCAAAAACTAGAAAGAAAGAGCAGAATTTTAACATCTAAATGAATATCTGGATGAATAATTCATATAAGGAATCCTAACAAGCTGAAAAGAATCAGTAGTTTAGGGACTGTGGAGTGGGTAAGGATTGTTTTAAGGTGACAAAATGTTTAGTTATCCATAGACTGTATCTAGTAGAGGAAAGGGGGTGTCAAGATATTATTGGGACTCTATTATGAAGCAGCTGCATGAAAAGCAAACTAAAGTTCGTAACAGTATACAGCATAAATCAATGTAGCTGGTGTTTGAGCTTGCAACAAGCAAATACAATCCTCATATGCAATCAAAGAAAGATATAAAAACTGTTTGATAAATATAGTAGGCCCTTTCCATATAGTTTCTTCAGTATGTTTTTTTTTCCTTCCAAAAGCATCATCGTGTGATCAAGAACTTCAGTCAGCCCTGGAGGAAGCTAAACAGCCACAGAAAGACAACGTGTTCATTCCAGAGTGTGCTCAGGGTGGCCTCTACAAACCAGTGCAGTGTCATCCTTCCACAGGCTACTGCTGGTGTGTTCTGGTGGACACAGGACGCCCCATCCCTGGTACATCAACCAGGTAAGGGAATACACTTTCAGTGCTCAAAGGTTATAGTGAGGAGATTCCTTAGTGTGTGTGCATGTACTAGTATGTAGGTTTCTATTGCTGGTGGAATGATGTCAGATAGATTTCTTCCACTACGAAGTGAAATATTTCTAAGAGACATCAAAAGTTAAGGCCAGGTGGCCAAAGACTCTTTGACTGCGATGTCACAGGCTGTTTAGTCCCCTAGTCCTCTTGTTTCTTCTATTTTGTGCTGGGAATCCAAGGCTTGGAGCTGATAATGAGTAAGCTCAGAGGAAACATCACACTACTTAGCCTGAATACAGAAGAACCAAGTAAGATGGTCTATGACAGAAACCACATCAAACCTCAGAAATGTTCAGTTATTTTTCCAGCAACCTCCTCAGCTATTTCATATGACTGTCTTTGATGGAACAACTGCTTGAGAACCCATGGAGAGGAAATATCATTTTAGTGTGTTATTAATTGAAGCTTGGAGTTCAGTCATCGCTGGATACATGGTAAAGTGTTGTGAGCCACATAGGGCAGATGTAGAAAAGGCAAATATCAGATTCCAGAGGATGTTATTTAGGCTGGTTATTGAGGTTTGGCTCTTGTAAGAATGCTGTAGATGCTCATACAAAGCCAGCAGGCAGTATGGGTATCTTGATGCAATCATAAATTTTTTTAAGCTTAAGCAAAAATAATTTTGTATCATTTTTCATAAAGTTTGTGACAAATAATTATAAGCCACTTGCTGTAAAGTGTTGTATTCTTGAGGAGGGTTTTTTCACGTATTCTTCAAGTGCTGATTTACTGGTGGCTGTTTATAACATAGTCTAGACCATGCCAATTACAGTGCCAGCTGAAGTGAGCATGACTTAAAGTTACTGTTGATCTGTTGTTTATGCCAAGTTGAGATCCATTAACTGGCAAAAGATTCTGAATTTGGTCTTGCAAATGTAGGATCAGTACATGTACCATGTGAGGACCTAGAGATGTTTTGTAGTATTTCCAGAGGCTCCCTTTTCTACTCTTTATTTTCCATCTCTAGCTTTGTTCACTGTCTCTTGTTTTTAGTGCTAATCTTTCTCTGAATTATGGTTTAAATCATTTAATGGAGCCTTAGTTCTTACTCTCTAATTTGAATCCAAATCATCTTCTTGGTCTTGTCAAGGCATGGAGCTTCTACTGATTTTTTTTTTTTAATAATTCTTCTTTTGTGAATGTCGTTTTTTTGTAGAATCACAGAATAGTTGAGATTGGCAGAGACGTCTGGGGATTCTTTAGTCCAACCCCTCTACTCAAAACAAGACCAGATAGAGTAGATTCCTGAGGATCATGTCGAGCTTAGCTCTGAGTATGGATATGGATATGAATATGGATAGAGAGTTCATAGCCTGTCTGGGCAGATGATTGTTTGTTCTATCACCATCAGAGATTAAGGGGAAAAAAATTTATTTTCTTACATTTAATTGACATTTCCCTTATTTATTTTTGTCCCAATTGCCTCATTTTCTGTCCCTGAATGTCACTGAGAAGAGTCTGACTCTGTTTTCTTTATTTTCTCCCCTTTGGACATTTATAGACAACAAGAAGATCTTCTCTGAGCCTCCTCTTCCCAAGACTGAACAGTGCCAGTGCTCTGACCTGTTCCTTATTATCTCAAATGCACCAGTCCCTTAGTCGTATTCACTGCCCTTTTCTAGACCCACTTCAGTATCTCCATGTCTCTTTTGTTTGGGGAGCCCAGAGGTGGACCCAGCACTCCAGTTATATCTCACCGGTGTAATGAAAGGGGAAGAATCAACTCCCTTGACCTGCTGGCAATACACTCCCTAATGTGTCTCTGGAGGTAGTTGGCTTTCTTTGCTGTGAGAGCACATTGCTCCCTCATACTCAGCCTAGCGTCCATCAGAAATCTCAGGCCCTTGACATGAAGCTGCTTTCCATTTGGTTGCCCCCCATCCTGTGCTGGTACAGAGGCTTAATCTTCACCGGGTGCAGGAATTTTGCATTTGCCTTTTTCTGAACTTCATGAAATTCCTGCCAGCCCATTTCTCCAGCCTGTTAAGGTCCCTCTGAATGATAGCACAAGCCTGTGGTGTATTAGCCATATCATCTGCAAACTTGCTAAAATGTGGCTTCCTGCCCCATCTTGCACATTAGCATGAACCATTCACGAAACTGGGGGCAGTGATCCTTGAAAATCAATGAGCTCACTTTCTTATTCATATGTATGCATGCAATGTGTGCCATTTTGGCTTCTACTGTCATAGAGACTGGAGTTCTAGGTCTTCTCAAGCCCCTGATGAATGACCTATGGATGTAGAATAAGTCTCAGTCTTCTTTTTTTCCTGTTTGGTCTGCTGGCCTCTTGTGTTTGGCAACTACAGAGTCATTCAGCTCTGGGAGAAGAGGTGACAGGGAGGTCTTTCACTGTGCTCCACGTCTTCAAAGTTGGAAGGTTGGCAAATTATATTAAATTATTTCATGCTGGTGGTTTAGACACAAATCTTCCTTTTGCTTGATGAGTGCTCTGCCTAATGACTGATACTTAAGACATTAGCTGGTCTTGACCATGACTGATTTGTTCAGCTTTGCTGGACTTATGGGCAGTTCTCAATGGAGCTCTGAAGAAGCAATATTTAGTAATATCCTTGGAGAGAACATTTCTGAGCACAAATGGGTGAGTACTGTATTTTAGGAGTTTTATACTAAATTAGGAATGACTGGTGTATTTAGGAATCTACAGTACTGGTAACCAAGCAGGTAGGATTACTACTTGGATTTTAAGAGCAGTATCTAGATCTCATTTCTTAGAACAATTTAGGTAGGCTGGAACCCCATTAATTATTTATTGATTATAACTTCTTTAATATATATTGATACTTTTTTTTCATTGGCAGAGAGGAGTAAAGGGGTATCAGAATATGGTGAGAAATATGCAGTTGTCTGTTTCTAATTCTTTCTTATAGAATCAAAAGAGTGAACATGTGGATCTTTCCTAAAAGAACCACAAGCTCATGCAAAATTATTTATGCTATCTACCAACTTTCCACTGCAAAATGCAAATTAGAAGAGGAGCTGTTAAAACTCCAATACTGGAGCTGATAACATTAGTACTCCTGGTAGCAAGATGGATGCATTGCATCCTGGAATCTCGGTTCTGCAAATGTGGATTGAATCACTAGATGAAAACAGTGAAAGGATAGACACATCTGGAATACTGTTGCCAGAATAGCTTAGCATTTTGCATGTTGTTTTTTTTGAAGGCATTTATGACGATGAAATTTGTCGTATCGTCAGGTTCTGAATACCACAATAAACAGTAGCTGAATTAAATTAGACACCCAAAATGAAGGAAAGATATTGATATTAATTCACCTTCTAATGTCCTGCCATCTGAAAAAAAATCCAAAACATTTGTCAGTGAAGGCACTCCAGAAAAAGAAATCCAATTCTAGAGTTAAAATAAAGATATATGAATGAAGTACCGCTCTAGGACATTTTAGACAGTAAAACTCATAAGAAATAGGCAAAGCTGTGCTATAGCACTCACTTTTATGAAAGCTTAGAGGAAACCTCTATTTTACTCAAAGGAGGTAATGCCCTTAAAGGGTACAAACAGCCATTCCCCGAAAAGTCTGTCAGTGTGGTCCTTATCAGCTGGCTCCCAATGTCTCTTGCACATCATGGTGTGACAGCATTTTTGTTCAGAAGGGCCATAAGCCTGTGTTCTCACATGTGGCACTTTTAGCAACTAGGATCATGGGAAAAAAAAAACCCCAATCCACTCGCATAAAGTTCCCTAAACTTAAAAAATTCTCCGTAAATCACTTGCTTCATGAGGCTGTCCACACTGTAGAATGCCTGTGAAAGCCTTCATCCTCTGCTGCTTTGTACACCTCCATAACTCTCAGTGTTTCCCAGCAACTGCTCAGAGATATAAAGCAGCCTTCATAAGCCTTTGGTGACTGTAGATATACATTCACTGCTAGGCATTCTTTTCCCTTTAAAATTCAAAAGAGTAACTTGGGATGTCTCTCAATTGCATTCTTTTTAACCTGACAATACTCTATTCTGACATGCTGTCCCTTTCCCACTCTTTCTCCATCACAGCTGAGGCAAATGTGTTTTTCTTATCAGTTCTTAGCATGATTGTTCCTGTATGGTAAATTTGTAATGATTGATTTTCTTCAGTTGCTTTAAAGGAGTTAAATGTAGACTTTGCACATAGCAGCATTTTAACACCTATTGGACTTTAATAGATTTAATTTACATTTGGTGAACTACATGTATATTTAGCAAAAATATAAGCCAAAAAGTTTAGAAGAGCAGAGGCCAAAAATGAAAGTGTAGGCACAGAGTAGTAACAGTAATGGAAGAGGACGAGGGGAATGCAGAGGTAGGTATCAGATTAATCGGCAACCAGGCTGGTTGCCAGATACTGCATTAGTGAGTATTGCTCAGAGATTTCCCTTTCACTCTTTAGTGGTCATCCATCAAGTATCTGAATCCAGCTCATGCTGTCAAAGCAGCCTCTATTCCTACTATTCTTCAGGAAAAAAAAAGTGCCAGTAGCTCTCCCATGCCTGTGAAAACAACACTGTACCTTCCTGCAGCAGCCACAATTTGATGGGCCAGTGGACAGTTTCATTAGATGGTGTGGAAACAAATTAAACACTCAAAGGAAAAATAATATTGGTCATTTTTTCATTCTGCCTACTAATTAAGATCAGAAAACGGAAGTATTGTTCTTAAGAACAGTTTGGCCTAGACACAGGGCATAGCCACCATTTAATGCTTTTGAAAGGAGTATTTTGTTCCAAAAATTTGGATTAGTATATTTTGATTAGACATTTTAGTATGCTGCTCAGTAAATGCTATTTTGAGGAACTTAGAATAAGAGAATTTCAAAGAAAGATGAGTAGTTATATAAAATATGAAAGATCCTAGAATCAGTAAGCAGGTATGTATGTGCACACACATGTCTGTGGACACAAGGGATATTACTAAATGCCTTATACTGAGAAATGAAACTGAAATAGTACACACTTAAAGCAGCTTCAGGCTGCTTTAGGAGAATGAGAAAGTAAAACTTCTCAGAAATAGATTCTGTCAAGGTGAGTGAAAAACCACCATGCATCAGTAGTGGGACATTAGAAAAAGAGGAGAGATTCAGCAGCAGATGCTGCTGCACCTCCCAATCTTGCATAAAAAATATTCCTAATGGCGTCATGTAAGTCAGTGTTTGTTAGAAATACAAATAGTGCAGAGGTTCTTGTTGCCAGCTGAACTAACAAAGTGACTTCAAGTAAATTCAGAAAGCATAGAGGACCCAGAATATTCAAGCAGCAGGTGGAGATTCACTCTTCTTCACGATCCATTTCAAGCAGTTCCAGCCCAGTTCCCTTCCTTCGAGAAACCCTGTGAGTTCTTTGCTCTTGTTCAAAATGTTAACTGTTCACAGTTAGCCCTTCTTATATAAACTAACATTATTTTTGGAGAAGATATAGTAGCACATGGCTTCAGAGCTGCGGTAGTAACTAACTACAGTACGTACCTTGCTGTGAATTTGAAATTGCTTCTCTGGTATTTCCCAACATGAATACTGTGTCAGATTTTGGGGTGATTTTTCATTTTTATTTATTTATTATGTATTACTTTGTACTATTTCTCCACAGTTTTCTTCTTCCTCAGTTTTCAGAATGGGCTTTGGAGTAGGTAATAATTTTACAGTTTAGTTTCAACCCCAGGAGCACAAAGATATGCTGGCTTCTTTGAGTCAAGTGGGAAATAGGCAGGTGAATTTGCATCATCCCTTCTGAATGAAAAGCAAGCTTATTCTCGGAATAAAAGAAGTTTAATTTGGAGTACAAAATTGCAAATGAATCAGTTCAAAATAAAATTAACCTTGGCTGATTTTATCCTCTCTCTGTTCTTTAGGTACGAACAACCTAAGTGTGATAATGGGGCCAGAGCTCACCCAACCAAAACAAAGGATTTGTACAAAGGACGCCAGCTTCAAGGTCAGTGAAACAGATAATTTGTTTTCATGAATGCCAATACTTGCTTTATTCACTGCAACAAATCAGAAAGCAATTTCTTACCCTATATCAAACTACCTATCTTTTAGATAATGCCATGTTGATTTGCTTCTGACTAAGGTCTTTGACTTTGGAAAAATGTATGTAAATATGGGTTTTGCAATGCCGGAGAAATTGAGGCTCATTTTTCTCAGTAATTTAAAGGCAGTCACATTTTGCTTACTGGAATTATTCCTTGCTGTTGTCATATCAGGGAAAGCAGCTGCTTTCCAAAAGAAGGCAGCTAGCATTTGCTTCATTTAGGCAGGATAATGTCCAGAGGTGATATTGTTCCTCTGAAACCATGAGGAAGAGAAACCGTTTTCCTCTGTGATGATTTTGGCACAAGAAAAATGGGCATGAACTATCCTAAATGAATTTCACCCGAGAGCTGTAAAGTGGTTTCCAACTATTAAAGGAGTGTAGTAACAGCCTTCTGAAGGACTAGGAATGGACTGAAAAATCTGGTTAGTTTTTTAGGTAGATCTTGATTACTTTGTGAAAGAGACAGTGGGAGATGGGTCAAATGAGTGAGGTACTCTGCATTAAGGCTTCTCTCGTAGGGTATTGAACATGTGTATATGCTAGAAGATGAAAAACTGATTTACACTAAAAAATCACATTTGAGCTTGAATTTCACAGCTCTTACCAAATTGTCTCCCTTTCTCTTCTTCACAAAAAAGGAATGGAGCTTGACTTGCAGTTTTTCTGTTTAGCTGCTCACAGAGTTAAGCGAGAACTATACGTGCCACATAAAAAGATATGTGAAACTTAGTGGCAAACATAAGTGTGTTAACAGTCAGGTTGATGATGTTTATCCATCATTGCATCAGTCAGTACTTGCTTAGTGAAGTTCTTTACTGCCAATGTAACTTCAGGGAAGTTAGGTACTTCAGGGATAATTTGGGAAATATTTTTTACTTTATTGCAGCCGTCCAGTACTTTAAGGGAGGTCATAAAAAGATGGGAGTAATCTTTTTAGCAAGCCCTACTGCGACAGGACAAGGGCTAAAGTTTTTAAACTAAAGAGGGCAGATTTAGACTGGATATAAGGAATGAATTTTTTACAATGAGTATGGTGAAACCCTGGAACAGGTTGCCTGCCCCGTGAGGTGTGAGAAGCCCCATCCCTGGAGACTTTCAAGATACAGGCTGAACGGGACTCAACATTATATAGTTGAAGTTGTCCCCATTCTTTGCAGGAGTGTTGGAAGAAATGACCTTGAAAGGTCCCTTCTGACCCAAATTATTCTATGATATTTTACAGTGATTACTTCATAGAAACCATTGAGAAGTTGGCCATCTTAGAGACTTGGATAATTACTTGATTTGGTTGTGTTTTTTCTGAGTCAAAAAAGAACTCACAGTTGGAAGAGAGTATAGCAGAGCAGAAGCTGAAGAAACAAGTCTTCCATTAAAAGATATAATTTGCTGGTCACTCTTACCTTTTGCTAAATTTTTGAAACATTTGCTACCTGGAATCTTAGAGGGAGGATGAGCAGGTGAAGGGGTTTAAGCTTTCACACATCTTATCCAAACTGATAGGGCTTTTATACACTACAGTAACAAATATTTATCAAGAGTCAAGCTACTTTTCCAGTGAAACAACTAACAATAATTTTCCATGCTGTAAACTCCTACTTGATAAATTAAGTTTGGCAGTAGTCTTTTGACTTTCTGCTTTCTGGTATTTTACATTATGTGAGCTTTAGTCCAACAAACCAGTGCAGCAAGGTGAGCTTGTAATTATTTTAAATTATTATCTATGATATGGATTTGTTTTCCCATATCTTACATTACTTAATCTTTATATTATTTTGAAATAAGGGAAATACCAACATTTCCTAACATTTCTTTAATACTTATGGATTAGCTAGAGGAACTTCCCTTTTCTGCTCTGCAACAGCATGGAGTAAGGACATACTTATAGAGGTAACAGAGGAAAGAGGTTTCTTCACAGTTGCAGTTGTATTAAGGTGTTTATTTTTCTTTCTCTTAAGGCTTTCTCTTTTCTTTCTCTCAACTAGTCTATCAAATGTCTGAAACTTCAACTGACAAATTTTTCGTCATAAAAACACTACATCAAGTAAAAGTGATTGAACTTTACTTCAGATAGTTTTCTGAAAAAAAAAGGAGGTTGGAAAAGGGCCTTGCATAGGTATGGGTGGTTGTTAACAAGTAACATGTAAAATTGCCCAAATAGCTAATATGAACAGACGTTTTAGTAGAAATGAACTACTGTTACTAAAAGTTTTACTATTGTAAGCAGTTTTGCAAAGGCGTATTTGCATTTGTGTCATCTACATTTAAATACAGCATAAGATTGCTGAGTGGTGCCAGGACTGAATAAATAATGTAGCTTAACTGTGTATTTACTTTCAAGGAATAATACATTTTTGAATGGATGGGTTTGTTTGATTTGCGGCTTATACCCACAAAAATGTAGTAGCTCTGGGTGAAACCACTCTGTCTGCCTGCTGCGTAAAACCAGGAAGATTTTAGAACAATTACTTTACTACTATGAATGATCTTAAATAGGATAAAACACACTGGTACATCCTCAGGTGGATTAAATGGGCATAGTTCAGCAGCTACGCTGATTTATACCACCTGAAAATTTGAACCCGTTACATGTTAAGCCAAATATTTTTAGCAATAACTTGCAAATAAATCAAGATGCAGTTTTTGGCAAACACTGGTATCTTATTAAGGCAAAATTGTAGAAGGTAAGGGCCCCTTGGAGTCTGTGGCAAATTTCCCACCAATTTAAACTGAGTTAAGAATATATCCTCATCATCCTAAGGGTAACTTAATATAAAGCATCTGAAATAGAAGGACTAATCCAATGTTTGTAAGAACGATCCAAGCCACCTGTATCTGTTAGTTTGGGCTGGAAGTTATATAATAATAATTCTTCCCATTAGATTTCTAGTCGTTTTTTTTTAAAGCCAAAGCATTTTTCTGAGGTTACTTGTGGTTTTTATCCTTCTCAGAAACTAGTTATTCCAAAATAGTGAAAAAGAACCCAAAAGGAGTCTAGAGAAAATCACATACTGGGGAAATAGAAGGGTTTTTTTTACTTTTCTCATGGTCAGAGTTTTCAAACATTCGTTTTTTGACCTTTTGTTCTCCTTTGTGTTATACACATGTGGAAGCCCCGTGATGAACCAATATATTCTGTAAGGAGTACTGAATAGTTTATTTCAGACTTTTGGATAACTGGTATGTTAAACAGAAATTCAGTTTTCTACAAAAGCTGGTCAACAGCATTTAAAAGTGTGTATCGTGAAGGCTAGCTAAACTGAACCTATAATATGATAGACTGAGGTGTAGGTGCCACTTTATTTTCCTAAAATCATGAGTGATAATAAATCAAATTCAGCCAGTTGAAGAAATATCAGTTCCTGGAACTGTATTTTTTTTTCAGTTTGAGCCTATGGACAAAGGTATTTTCAAATGCTGTATCTAAATGCTAGTTTTTAGTAATCAGTAAAATATTTTTCAACACACATCCTTAGTAGATGTATATTTATTTATAAATTATGTAAATGTAGTACTGTACTAATACATTAAGTACCCTGTGAAACATGCCCAAATATAAATTTAAAAAAAGAATTAAATTAATATAATTTTATTTTTTTACTTTTATTCACTAACAGTACTAAAAATATGTTCCTCCACTCCAATGAGTGTCTTGTGCTCCCCCTGGGGTACTGGCACACTACTTTGGAGACCAGTGCCTTGGAGAATACATAAGCTACCTATTCATTGAGCTAGTCTTTACTCTAAACAAGGTGGAAGAACAGGACTTGGATATCTAAGAGAGTAAGACATTATAGCATATTGAGGCAGTGCCAGACCACTCAGCTTATTTGCTTCAAGTGCAAACTTTTTTTTTTTTTAAAAAAAAGTATGCACTGAATGCAAGAAAGCTCTGTTTTGGGCTCTGCTGTGTCTGAGGGCTGGATAAACTTTGGATAATCCTTTATGCAGTTTAACTTTTTGTATTCTTACTTAACCTGGGAACTTATTTGTTTTTCTTGTAACATAATTTCTGTTACCAAGATGTGAAATTTGAAAAGTAAGTGGAAAAAATGTAAAAGTATCATAGGAAATATGATTTTGCTCACACAACATTCTTTAACTAGAGATACCTTTATCTTTTGTGCAGTAGAAAAAACAACAAAAAACCCACTTAAATCCAAATGTGTAAAATGCACACAAGTTTGAGAGATGAACACAATATCAAGCTAGATTTTCAAACTTTATTGGGTTTCTATGGTTTTGTAGCTTGAAGTTAAACTATTAATTTTGTTTAGATTTCATTTTGATCTGCTTAAATTTCTCATCTTCTTTAACACAGTATGGGTTTTGAAGTTCCTATAGTTGTGATACTTCTTCTCATATAAAAACCAAAAAGGTAATTTGGGAGAGGAAACGCTAGTTTGAAAATGACAGTACTTTGTGAACTGTAACAGTAATACAATCTGCTGACCTGCGTGAATGTGCAGATTCAGTAAGTCCATGCACTAAAAGTCCCTAAAGTCTCCCTTTTCTATTTTCTTAAAATAACATAGCTCCCCATAGCAGAATTTTACCTTTTCCCGAGATGTTGATCGCGATTAACCCAGCTGGAATCCAGTAGAATGCACCAATTGCATTGAAGTTAATGTAGATTTCTACTGGTAAATAAGAACAGCACTTCACTCCTATTTTTGATCTTCCTGGCCATCCTGCAGATCTCTAACAAGCCTCATTTCATATAATTGTCACAATTTTCAAGCCTAGAGCATTTCTATAAAAAGAGGAGGCCTTAGCTTTCCTAGTTGCCTCCCTAAATCCTCTGACCACAGTCTTATATTCCACCCAAGTGTCCAGCCCCTCCTTCCATGATCTCTAGACTCTTCTTCCCCTTGAGTTTGCCCAGCAGTTCCGTGGTTAAC